TTCGATTCCCTGGTAAAATTTACAGGGTTGGAGAGAGGATTCAACCTTTCTGAGGTTTGGGGCTAGGGCTCGGCCAAAGTTGGAAGAGAGATTAGGCCCAGTCCACACAACGCAAGGGAAATTTGAATGCGAAGGTTTCACTCTGAAAATGCATCAAATGTTTTTCGTCCGCACTACGCCGGGGAAATTTGAAAACGCAGCAATCACTGGTCATTTTGGATTTGTGTTTGAGGAAAACTCGGACTGAAAAATCACATGATTATCGTGACGTCATCGTTTTCCAGAAGCTCCGTTTTCAAAATGTTTTCCGTCTACACTAAATTGCAAAGCCGGCGTTTTCAAATTCCTCCGGTTTTTAGAGTGTTTTCGAAAAGCTCCGTCGGTTTTCGTGACGGATTAGTGCAGATAGTAGGCCTTACCGTACGTAGAAATAAAGCCGCGTTTTCAAATTTCTCCGGCGTGTAGGGTGGTCGGGGGCTAACTGTGACGACCAACACCTTTGTGGAGCTGACGTTGAGAAACATCACCGCTCCCAGAATAGGTCAAAGCTTTTAGAGTCAGCTGAGAAATGATGGTCAGGCTGATTGCTAAGACATGAAGTAAGAGAAGTTTAGCGATAGACTGCATGAAATTTTAACTGATAGCTGATTGCCGAACATTTCAGTAATAGCTGAGATTCGACCCATGAAGACCCTCCTGTTAGAATTGTGGGTAACGTAGCGGGAGGAGGCAGCGTGGCCGAGTGGTTAGGGCGCCGGACTTGAAATCCCGAGATCGTGGGCCCAAGTCCCGCTCTGACCACTAAGCTGGAGTTATTGCTCTGTAGACCCTAGTTCAACTCCTCATGCAGTCATGCTTGCAAATGGGCAACTGGTCTACCTCCTGCCAGTTGGGATTTCTAAGCCTATTGTGTTTAGTTGGCGTATTTCTTTCATTCAGTTTAAGTGACATGCCAGTGACTAGCTAGGTGTAGCTAAGCGCATTGACCACTATAAACAACATTTGAAAATTTTTTTTCAGTGAGTCCAGGAAGACACAGTCCGAAAAAAATAGAATGATTCATAGTTTTAAGTTGCGTAGAAGAAATAATCGAATTATGATTATGTATCCTTTAGCATGGACACAGGTATTGTAATGCAAGCGTGCTTTAGAAGCATTGGCTTGGAAATTTCGAGAAAGACTTGACAAATATCACACTACAACAAAAGATTCACAAAATAATCGAATTTATTAATTTAAATTAAAAATATCTTTACAAAATTCTATACTTTGCCAAAAATATAATGTACAAAAATAAATATTATCGCGCGACTCAATATGCGCAAAGTATTTGGAACACTGCTCAACTTTACAAGTAATAATTGATGTAAAAATAATTACTGCTGAAGGATTTATTTAGCTGATACTACTCACAGAAGGCTTAGATTGGTATTTACATAAAGCCTCCCTCTGTCGTTTTTTTACAAATCTGAAAAAAAGCAGCCGAAGATTTTTGTCTTCTATCAGAAAGCAAACATTGGATGGGTTTTACATTTCACTTTAAATTTATTGGCACTAAGGGAACGTCCACACTTACGTCGGAGGAATTTGAAAACGCAGCTTTATTTCTACGGTTAAACCTACAATAATCCGTCACGCAAACAGAGCTTTTCGAAAACGCGCATCAAACAGGAGGAATTTGAAAAACGCCAGCTTTTCGTTTTTGCGTGGACGGAAAACATTTTGAAAACGGATCTTTTCGAAAACTATGGCGTCACGATAATCACGTGATTTCCCTGACCGAGTTTTCGTCAAACACAAATCCAAAATGACTGATTATTGTTGAGTTTTTAAATTCCTCCGGCGCAGTGTGGACGGAAAACATTTGATGCGTTTTCAGAGTGAAACCTCCGTTTTCAAATTCCTCCTGTGTAGTGTGGACGGGGCTTAAATGGGAACATTTTGCGCCTCTTTATTTAAGGCTGTACGTAATTGATTGCATAAGATTATCAAAGAACTCAAACAAAACCCTCTGAACATAACTAGGCGGTATGACATAAAAAATCAAGTCCAGAGCTCTTTATCATCCTACTTACTGATGTCATGCTCAAAATATAAATTCTCCCTACTTATTCCATACATTTCTGTTAGTTTTGGTTCTGAGAGTTTGGTGTTTTATCAGGAAAATGTCAATTACTTGACGAGTTTCTCTCTTGTCATCACCTGTGTGCTTGACAATGTGTTAATACTGTAGGGAGAAACTAGACGTTTATCACACTTGCGAAGATGAAAAGCTTCTGTTTTACAAACAGTTTTCTTAGGCCCAGACCAAACGTCGAACTTCACATGAAACGAACTAAACTCAGCGAATTAAGTTAATGCATGATAAGTTCGACGCTTGACTAAACTGAGTTCGTCCGTCTGCTTCAGACGGATCGAACGATTGACCCAGCGGTCAAGTTTAACCCGTTTGGATCGACTCAAATTCCAAATTAGTTCTTCTCATGTGAAGTTCGTCTTGTGGCCTGGGCCTAAGAGCCAATCACAGAACCTTCGAGAGAAGATTTCAGTTATTAGTAAATTAAGTGCTGCTTGGAAGCCTTATGGCCTGCAGAAGGTGCCTTCCTGAGGGCACCAGTCATGGTTTGCCAGCGAGACCCATATCACAGGGTACCTTTTGTCATGTGTTTACTTCTACTTGTGTTTGTTGATTGGCCAGGTCCATCGTGGGCCCATTCTCTGCGGGTCTACCTCGAGCACTTCCGGCTGCACTCGACGCGACACTAGCTGTTTCAAGGTCCTTAGATTCCTGTAAAATAAGGAACAGCTGGTAAGACTGTGGAATACGCGGTATAAATGTGACTTAGGGATTATGGAAATGACAGTATAAATCAATTTACACACGTTCCACACCATCACTCTACTCGAAGCCGCGATAGCAAAGAGGTTGGCGACCCCAGTTGTTCAAAGGGTGGACAACACTATCCACCAGAAAAATCCTTTTCCAGTGGATAANCGAAAGCGAAGAGGTTGGCGACCCCGGCACCCTCCATCCCACCAACGAGTAAGTCGGGCTTGACCTAGCTGTCCGCTTCCATTTTCGCCTGATCTTAGCCTTGTCCCAGGCCAGAGTGATTCCCCATAACTCATTACCATGTCATGAATAACAATACCCAGGGTAGAATACTACACTATGCCAAGCTTAGATTTGCTCATACGACAAAGCTGTGATACGCAAGATTCCTAGTATTAAATTAAAGACTGCGGTATTCTCGGTAAGCTTGTGCTCTGCTAAGCTATAAGAATGTCTAGTGCACTGACTGCAACGATTTCACTTTGCTTATCAGTTGTATTTTGCGCGCCTTAAAGCTTCCTCGGCTATTGTACCCAGGCGTGACTCTTAAGCAAGAGGGGAAGTGATGCAACCGTGCAGGTAAAAGGAAAGTATTTCCTGAGATCAAGCGGAATATAAACCTGTTTGCGCTCAATGTTTCTTCTTACCTTCCATTTCATTCCGTCTGACACAGAAAAGGTCAGCTCACTCTTGGACTGACCATGCGCAGAAGGGAGCAATAGTGGAAGCGTGATGGCCTTGGTAACCGCGGGATATTTCAGGAACTCCGCATAACGCTTCTGAAGGAGTTTCTCTTGCTTGGTAGCTGGGTGGGGAAAAATTACTTGTGAGGCTTCCTACACTGGCGAGACTGACACGACTGACAATGAGAGAATGAAAGGTAATCCCCAAGGGAGGGTGACTCCAATATAGAAAGGACGGGGGTGTCTCGTCCTACCTTTTAAGGGTTAAAAGAGCGGTTTTGGTACCTCTCAGAGTGTTCAGCCTCAAAAGGTTCACAGCAGGAGCTTTTGCGGTAACTTTTAGGGTATTCGGCCAAAAAATATATGACGGGAACTCGAGATAAGCTTTTTTTTTTTGAATTGGCACCTCCTAGGAGTGAAAAATATTTCAAGACACGCACACAAAACAGCATCTTGGTACCTCTTGGGGTCCTTTTCGATATTTCCGACGAGCATCCCTGTCCTTTTTATATGAGTCTCCTTCCCGCGGTAATCCCCCTATAAGCTTTATTCAAAACGTGTTTCCCTCAGGTTCCTCCCTTAGAGGGTCCACAATAGGGTTCTCAGATCCCGCTTTCCCGCCCATTTTTTCCTGTTAATCCCGCTATCCCGACCCTTTTTGCCTGGAAATCCCGATCCCGCCCACTTTTCAAAGACGTTATTATTAATTTGTTAAATTAATAATTTAATTATTGACACAGAAACTTTTTAAAAATAGATATCGTATAAAAGATCACAAAAGAATTCAGTGGGTAGCAGATAAGTAAGCACAAATGATTATAACGTTTCTTTCC